TCTGCCTGTGGACCACGTGAAAAGCCTCTTCACTCTGCTCCAAATCACACACTGGCACAAATCTACATGGCAATTATTAGTGGGCCGAGTGAAGAGGTCTTCCACGAGGTCCGCAGGCGATAGGTGATAAGTATGGGGTCGTACTACATCTGAATTATGTCTTTCCGCAGTTTGGAGCGCCCTCCGCGCTCCTTCTATTCACGTTCTCGTAGTCCTTAGCCCCTAAATCAGCCCCCGGTTTCGTGGCTCCGTAGGGCCACCTGACAACCAATACGCACGATTAGCTGCGGTCTGACTTGATCAAAATTGTAAAGTAGTGTAGTGTGATTATTCAGTTTCTTCTCTCTCGTAACTCTGGGCTAAATACCGGTCTTGACGTACTCTTATAGCCTCCAGTAGGAGGGGGGGTTGTTAAACGCGGGCGTTCGTTTTTGTCTCGTCTCTACCATTTTTCCAGGAGCGAACAATAGCATAGACAACGAGTATAAAAGACTACGTTGCTATTCAAATTGTTCAAACAGCAGCATGTCCTGTTTTGTTCAGATATGTACTCAAGGAGCTCAAAGATCAACGAAATCAGAGAGACCATTGGTATTCATACGATTACGATGATTCGTGTTGGTTCCTCTGACGGTGGCTGATGAACAGCACGTGCCTAGACCTTTTGCGTTCACAAGGGTCGTGACCGGGAGAAAATTATGGCAATAATGGGTTGAACACAGGATCATACGACTCGACATGAGCAGAATGTTCCTTGGTTCAATGTCAGCCAAAAAGCCATCTTGGGCAATAAACTGAACACTCGCGCAAGTCGTCCAGGGGGGGCTTGATATTATACTTTCTAGCTGCTCAAAATGCAACAGAGTCGGATACGCATCTCTGCTAGCTTGGCCACAACTCTTGATAGAACTTTAATCACTTTGCAGAATGACATTCAATGCTATGCTAACGCTTTTAGCAGCAAAATCCTCGCCTCTTATATAGAAGATACAAGTAGCGTCCGTGTCGGTGTATGCTTGGGAAACTCACTTAAGAATTCGAAAAGACTCTGAGAGCAGAGGCTGGGTTACGCAGGCTACCTATTGTGCTCTTCTCTTGATGAAGCAACCAAAAGTCATATTGCGAAGACTGTATACGTCACATGCAGGTTTCACATGCAGATTGAGCGGCACCCTTAGTTTAGCTGATTAATATGGCAGAACCATCGCAAAAGTCCTGCCGTTCAGGGAGTATTCATTGGAACAGCTACATGGATATGACTGACTTGACATGTCTGCATGAGATGAACTGCCTGGCCAGGAACACCTATCGAGGATGAATAGCAAGGTCCTCTGCCACTACATGGTGAAACACTGTACACCACCCGCTCCGCAACTCGGCAACGTAAACAGACGGGTACTGTGTAAGCTTGAAGGCACTCATATACCGCCGGTGGCAATTGCGGTCAATATGATACCCAAAATCATAAGCCGCATAACGAGATACTATTTAGCAGAAGAAGTTAGACTTTAGGCCGCCACCCCAGATCTTAGGTGAGACGGATGCACGGCACACAGCAGGAACGCAATCCGTGAGTTAATAAATGCGCGATTGAGGCCACCCCAACCGGATCTGGAGCGAATATGAAGCTTCAACAGCTGCGCCCTCACGGTAGCCAAGAACAAAACTCAGAGGCACCAGCGCTATCCGGCAATGAGAAGCATACTTTACGGGTGTAAAAGCTTCCCATGGAACATCTACGCGCAATGCGATGACAAAAAGAGCTGAAAACGACTAATTCGCGATCACTTCGAGGCGTTCCGAATGGCGTACTTACCGATGCTCGAATCACTAACTCGAAATGGATGTCGTAGGGCTGTGCTCGGCACGTTAGCCGCGGACAGCCCGTTTTTCGGGGCCCAGCTAAACCAGACAAGCACAGCAATATGGGAACGACGTGTGCCGATCATCCGACTGAAGGGTCCGAACCTGACTCCAGAAGTAGGCACCCATTCGAGGCATGACGACGCAAGTGAAGAGAACAATATCATGGGCTGACCAGAGGGCAACATGGCGGCCTCTTGCGTGCAAGCGAAGGAGTGAGGACATCTTGGAGGACTTGGCGTCTATATAACACCCCAAGACTATCCCAAGAAGCAACATACCATAATCCATCTCATCACTGCAACTTAATCGACTCAAGTTACGATATCGTCACTCTTCACACAATGGTACACCCTCACACAGCGGTGGGCATCGCCCAGGTGGTGTTCTACGCCCCCATGCTACCAACGGCAATCTTTGTCCTCGTGAAGAATTGGCGGCAGCCGCCTCGAATGGCATGGTACCCCCTGGTGACATTTTGCCTCTGTCAGTGATTCTACTCACTCACAAACAGTCGTGAAGCTAACAAGTCTCAGTACGTCTGGCTGGTGGAATCATCTCCATCATCCGGGGACCGCAACCTCGCAACATTGGCCTCATTATTGCCGATAGCGTCCTCCTCAACGTTGGGCTGATCCCGCTCCTCGTGTCATTAATCGGCATCATGCGCATCACGTATGGCCTTGTTCCCACAATGTCTGCGCTATGGCGACCTAGCTAACTAGTTGTTCGTCCAGTCTCAACTCAAGCCTTGACAAGAACTCTCGTGCCCGACAGTTCCTCAAGGCTGTGCGATTCATCTTCCTCGCCGCCATCGTCCTTCTGGCCGTCGCCGGCGGTATCAGCAGCGACGACTCTTCCCTTGCGACGGCGAGAATCCTCACCAAGGCTGCCTATGTCATTCTGGCGGCGATTCTCGCTCTGGCTACGGCAGAGATGGTGTACCTCTTGACCCAGAAGGATCGCATTCCCGCCGGTGGTTGCTACGTGAGTTCGTCTTCTTCAGCGTTACGCTTGTGATAAACTGACTATGAGCAGTATATCCGCTTTGCGCTCGTCTCCGTACCATTCTTGGCTGTCCGAACTGCCTATGGCCTGTTGTATGCGTTTACCATTCACGATCCGAACACCATCTGGAATCCCCTCGTCGGATCGGCAGCTGCCTTTGCGTTGATGTGCCTCTTGGTCGAGTACATCGTGCTCATGATATTCATCTATCTTGGAATCCACAGGATATGGCACCCCTCCCAGCCGTCACAGGAGACCCAAGATGCCAGCAAAGCTTCCACGACGGTAGCCTGAACAGCTGCAGATCGAATGGTGACTATTGGGCGTTGGGCGTCGACATACATGCTTGGAGCCCAAAAGGCGTGCCAAGCTCAATTTGCTTTGCAAGTCAGCTTGTTCGTATCTAGAGACAATGGAGAATAGCACGACAGAGTTGAAGAATATCTATACCTTGGGAAATAGCTGTCTGTTGATCTTAGCAGGGGTTCAGAAGTCCACTTCTCTAGAATGCCCCGAGACGTGATTGCGCAGTGGCCTTTGGCAATGCAAACTAAACGCACCGGCCCCGACGCCTCATGCCTTTACATCAATCTGCAGCGGAGGTTCGCCACGCTGGCATTGTCTCAGAGTGATCGGCGCTGGGATGCGATATCAAGTTGGTGCGGTGTGACATATCAAGAGCCAGGGGACAGCAAACCATCGTGAGAATCAGCCTTTGCGTCATGTGTCGTCCGCGATAGCCGCCATGACCCTGTTCAATGGTCTCGTCTCCAGAGGGACAATGACACGCTTGCCTCTGTCCTAGATTACGAGAAAAGGCCAAGGCCTTTTCCCATTCAGGCGGACCTAGTTGGCGTTCGCAAGCTCGTGTTCGAGAGATCGAGTTCAGGCCGCACCTCCTGATTGAATGTCTCTTGGTAATTTCCGAAAGGGCAGCGCCCATGCCGCCAGAGACATGCGATACATCAAAGACACGCGATATACGCACACACAACCGTGCTCCTTTCCTAGTATGACTGTCGCGTGGTACGTCTAGTAGCACGGCGTCAATCCCAAGATACCCTTATCATGGTTGTGAAATTGGATCACTGATAATTCTGATGGCGATGAAGCGTGCCAAGACAGCCGACGATAAGTTACGGCGAGGCTGCATCCTACGTACGGGCTTATCTTCGGGTTTTGGTTCGCCACAAGTCCATTCACCGAGTCAGGTGAACCAGTATGTCAGCTACCATGTCGGCGTCGGCGTCGGCGTCGGTGGCCTCTTGACGATGCATTGCATGAAGCAACGCCTTTCCGCTGCTGATCCGACAGCTTACCCGCAGCTTTGGCACCGCCGTTCATGGGTGCCGCCGGAGCAGGCAATGTTCTAAGTACGTCCAAACATGTGGAACTATGGGTCGCATGTTTAGCTGGTGCTTATTGCTCAGGTGGCATTTGGCCGAGCTCGAAGGCCATGCCGTCTGTGAAAGTTACCGTGTTGCTGATGATCACTGAACAACTGGCAGGTGCACAAAAGCGAGGATCGCGGCAGTTGAGGCGCAGGGTTTGTGGGCAGACAGATCGACGACATGCAAACCGAGAATTCGTCAAGCTTTGGCCGTCTGGTTGTAGACAAAGCCCATATCGAAGTCCATGCTGTAAAACTGGTCAATCGCCAGGGTCGCGTCGTGGCGGCGCCCGCCAAACATCCAGGCTGCCCTCTAGGACGGCGCCCACGTCAACGAGCAAGTGAACCCATGGAACGACAGCGTCCGCGCTAGGCCCGAGATGCAATCCGTCACCGTAGGGCGGCGGCATGGAGAGGGTGCTGGCAGCAAGACCTGGCAAGCAGAATAGCCTTGTTCCATTATCGTCGCACGCGTAGCTCATTTCGACTGGAAGCACCAGGCTGCAGAAAGGGCATCCGTGCCTTGGCTGGGAAATGAGTCTCGAGATTGGCGAAAGACGAATGCGGCCTATGAGCGCGCGGGCGAATGGGCAGGAAAGGGTGGCAGCCGTCATTCTGAGTATCTGGATCCCTGACCCTGCGGCTGGGGATTGCGCGTCCCGTATGCAGCGACGAAGAGGCGTAGAGCCGTACAGTAGACGAAGTGTCTATCAACGAAGTTCCTTTGACTTGAAATTCGCACCTTTACTGATTTTCGTGATAGCGAGACGGGCAAAACGGGAGATGAGGTCGCTTATCGCCTTGGCAGGACGGGTGACGCACGGGCATACGTTGACGGTGATAATGTCCACAACAGTGCAAGGACGCAATGTTTTTTGTTGTTGCGATTGATGCCATTCTTCCATCAGACGCGTCGATGTCAATCTCGGCAGGTCGTGGGAGGCCTTCTTTTGTCTGGAGGAAGAGTCAGCCATACCAAAGCATCGTGACGAGCTGAGCGAAATGCTGACTAGGAGGAGGAGCTGCAGATCCAAGCTCCGCAGTGCAGCTCTGCTACTGCCATGTGGAAGTTTGCTCGTGTTCCAAGGACTTGTTCCAATGGTAAAGTGGGCTAAGGTCAGACAGAAACAGCGCTTTCCCTCTATTGATTGCTGCTGTCACCCGCCTTGTGAACGGGTTGACCGATCATCGCTGCTAGTACGAGGCACGTCTCACCGAGCGCTGCAGGAGCCCCAAAACAGGATCAGTAGGGCAGTCGGTACCAAGAGTAGGCGACACCTACCCAAGCAAACCAAGCTGCCTACCCGGGTGTCGAGGCGAGGCAGAGGCAGCAGACAGGGGAGAAGCATGTGGTGTGGGTCATTGCCTGTCTCTCAGTGGAGTGATGTTCAGGAACGGCCAGGCCCAGAACACGACGGGTGGGCTTCTATGGGTGGGTAAGCTGAATCTCTGATTGGCATGCGCGCACCGAACCAGGCAAGACCTCCTGGGCGTGCCTGGGAGACGGCAGCGGCAGGCGGGGACGTACATCCCTGGGCGGAAGCGGGGGCCTTGGAAGCCGCAGCCCAAACTTTGCCCTGCTGAGCGTGTGAGCCTCACATGAACGAGGTCACGGTCCCCACCGTCCGAGGCGCTAAACTGACCCTCTCGCAGACGTTGGGCCAAACGGAGCACCCGGCTGCCATGTCTTGCCCTGCTCCGTCCCCATCGCCATCGCCAGGAGGGAGGAGGGGCAGGTCGACTGCCGCGAGTCTTCTGTGGCGCGGGAGCGGAAGCGGAAGCGGGGCTGAGGGCTCGTGATGAGACTGACCTGGTTCTCGAAAGAGAGAGGAAGAGTAGAAGGGGGCGGAGGCGGTGGATCCATTGTTGGAGAACAGATGTCCCCTGGCATCCACAGACAGAACGGTAAAACGGGGAGCAACGAACAAGGACCAACGATGGAGCGAGTGGGAGAAACGAGATGGTATGAGAGGCGGGAGAGCAAGTAAACGGTTGTAAGCCCAAATGCATTCGCGGAAACAATCACCTGGCCTGTGTCCTACCTACAGTACCTAGGTAGGTACATCACCTCCCAGTGCCTGGGTACCTACTTAGCTAGGTACCTTACCTCTCCCTGGTAGACGCCGTAGGTACCTTGCCTGGGGCACTTCTCGACCTGGACAACCCAACGCTGGGGACAGCACACCGCCACGCCATGCAGCGAGCAGCCATGGCGCTGTCATTGATGCGTCGAACCCGATGCGCACTGGCCATTGAGAGCCACAATGCCCAGGGCATGTGCTCGGCGGCATCTGGGCGTCCGCGTGTGCGCTGTCAGTGAGATGAAGCAACATCAGCATCCACACCTATCGTCAGCAAGCCACCAGATAGGCACCGTCGTCGGGTAGGACAGACCCTGTCGCTGGCAGTTGTGTCGAAGGGTACCGTGGGGGGGCACGGGTTTTGAGTTGGACGAACAAAGGAAATGGCAAAAATGTGATCCACTTGATGGGGGCTTTGGGGCCGTCTGTTGTCGCCATGTGTTCGTGCTGGTTGTTTGACTCGAGTAGCAAGGTACCGAGCCGTGGAACGTCGCCGTGGTGAAGAAAAGGGGGCTAAAAAAGTATATTCTCGGCCTCTCAGGGCCCCCTCGACCTGCAAGCCCCCAAACCCAGACGGCCGGCCGGAAAAAGACTTGATGAATCAGTCGCCGCCGACGCCAGAGCCGTCGAAGGGCGGGAAAAAGAGGCAAAGCGCAAACCCATCCGCTGCCATTCGGCTGGCGCATCCCAAAGACGCTTAGATGCAGACGCTAGAAAGCCAAGTCAGACAACAAGTCACAGCAGAGTACAGCAGAACAGGGCAGATTCGGTGCAGACCTGGGGGAGGATGAAGGCCGAAAAAGCAAGGAACGGGCAGAGACTGGCCTACCTACTACGTACCTACCTACCTACCACAGGCACATTACCCTCGAGTCATCTGCCCTCACTACCTATGCGGAGGTACTCGCTCGGCTCCGCTACTGGCAAGCACATGCTGGTGTGTGTTGTGGTTTGGTCGTTGCCCAGAGCAGAGAGCAGGCACGTACGGTTGGTCGCGAGAGGTCGCTGCTGCCCCGGACCTTGGATCGAATTACAGAGTCGGCAGGTACGGACAAGGTACCGGGTACTGTACTTGAGGATGCAGGCGCAAGCGCAGGATGCGAGATGGGGAGAAGAAAGTGCCAGACCAACAAACAGCCTTTGTGCCTTCCCTGCTGCTCCATCTGCTCCTGCTCCATAAGTACTCCATACTCCAAACGGCCAGGCGATAGAACCAAGCTGCAGCGCGGGCCCGATATAACTCTGCATCGCCCATGTGCCCGTCCCTGTCCGTCGCCTGCTGCCCGCCTTCCCGCCCTCCGTCTCCTGTATCATACCCGTCTCTCCATGCGCGTGTTCGCGTACCTTCGCCTTGCCTGTCTACCTAGTACGCTTTGTTGCTATCTTCCGCGGATTCCTGACCTTCGTTGCTTCAGCAAAGAAGCGAAGCGGGGAGTGGAAAAAAAAATACTTTCGACAAGTCAACATCACCACGCCATTGAAACTTTTCTCAGTCCCAGGGTCGCCGACTCGCGCATCCACCAACAATTCCATCGCTGATTGACTGATTGCAACCCTCGTGGGGATCGCCCGTTTGTCGCTTCGACTTGCCATGGACGAACCGCCATAGCTTTGCGCAGACTTACATACCGGATCTCTCCCCTCTTGGGACCCGACCGACGCGCCACGCTTGTGTGTGTGTGAGAGAGAGAGAGAGAGAGAGCGAGAGAGACACAGCACTTCTGACCCCACGACACTCCTTCTCGCTTGCCACCACTTTGCGACACCAAGACACTTCAACCCACGACACGATAGCGATCTTCTCCCTTTCATCTATGTTTTGCTTGCCTGCCATACATCCACGCTGTGCTGCCTCCGATCCTGCTCAACCCAGCGTGCTAATCTGGAACACGAGCTTCAAGACCCAGCAAGCCCCCCCCGCTACCAATACGAGACAAACCCGCTCCAGCTTCAGCACCACTGCCACGATCACTGGTCCAGACTCTCTCCAGCTGTGCGTCCAGAGTCTGGCCCGCGTAGCACGCACCACGCTGTAGAGCAGATTCGAGGAGCCCGCCACAAGGTCTCACCCTCGTCCCCTCTCATAATGACGGCACCCTACGTTCCCCTCGTCAGCGCCGCCTCCTCTCCGGATGCCGATGACGATGCGAAAGGCTTCCTGTCCTCGCAGCCTTCCACCACGAACAACTCGACCAGCGCGAGCCCAGCCCAGAACATGTCCCTCGCCGCCGCAGCCACGTTGACGCCACTGTCCACGTCTGTCGACAGCAGCGACCGCTTTTGCGACCCGCTTGCGACCGTGAAAGAAAGCCAAGCCGACAGCAACGCCGCCTGCGGCGAGCAAGACGCAGCAGCTCGCAGAGTCAGTGGTGGCGCTCGGAGGGGGAATGCGCCTGGTGCTCGCCCATGAC